CTGGACTAGGCTGATTTCATTCTACTTTTGTGGTCATGGTTTTAATACTTATACTTGGAAAAATCCAATAAGCATCCCTTTCTACCCATTGTATGTTACCTTAGTAAGATAGATTTTTGTCTAGAACATGTTCTAGTATAAAGGGAGTGGCCACAGGAAGGCCACAATCTATCATAGTGCCTAGAATTATATCATTATCTATAGTAATAAAAGCATAATATGCAAGTTGACTGAACAACCAAACAGCAGAACGACTGTCCGGACGACCTTACGGACGACCACACTATGACACGCAGGCCAGCCAAGGTGAGTGCAATGCAATTGGCGAGGGGCCCCTGACTCCACTCCACGATTGCTCAGACCACCCTCTGTGGGGCAATCAATGGGAGGGCTCTGTGATTGATCTTCCCAAAGAGGATGCCCAGGCCACCCTCTGCACTGCGATTAATTGCAGAGACCCAGCTGGGTGGGCGGGGCCTCCCTCTTTGGGGCCATCGATCAGCCCCCCCACCTCCCGGCAATTGATTGCCCCACGGGGGGAGACCCAGGCCACCGGCCAGCAGCGCTGTAGCAGGTGTGCAGGGCGGCCAGCGATAGCCCCGCAGAGGGAAGCCCAGGCCAGCCAAACGATTGGACCCCACACTTGCTGCCGGCATGGGTGGGGGGCAGCGCCGCACAGATCACAAGCAGTGGCAGTGGTGGGGGCAGGGCCAGCTGCAGGGATGCCAGGGGAAGGAAAGCCCTGATAGGCCCTGATTACTGCCCAGGCCTAGGGACCCTACCCGAGAGGTCCTGGATTGCGAGAGGGTGCAGGCCGGGCTGAAGGACACCATCACCCACCCCTATGCACAATTTTGTGCACTGAGCTTCTAGTTAATATATTTGATGATATAATACCTTATACTTGCATAAAGTGCATGTCTTGCCCAATATTTTTACACCATTTCACTTAATCCTCACAATAATCTTATGCTTAAAATAATTATCTACATTTTTACAGATAAAGAAACAGGTTGGCATGGGAGAGAGAGTATAAGTCACTAGATTAAAGACACCAATGAAGGTAGCAGATCTGAGACCTGAACACTTTAATCCAAGGCCACACACACACACACACACACACACACACACACGCACACACACGATTAGCAAATAAGCCTTCACACATAATCCATGTACCTCTCAAACTGCTGCTGCCCTTGCACCAGGTCCTGGGTCATGTTATCCCCCCAGAAGAAGTATCTCGGATCCCACAACCCCAAAACCCCCAACCCCTAGGTATAGCTTCATTGATTTCCAATGTGAAATGTTCTGGAGGGCCTCGTCTCTTCAGGGCAGGTCCCAAGGTTTGGAGTACTCAGTGTGGGCTCAAGCCTCTCGCTCCTAGGGAGAAGCTCTGAGGCATGGAGACCCCTCCCTGTTGTGGAATCTCTGCACCAGGGGTGGTTTTGGTGAGACTGTGCCTCTGCCGCTCCCACACATCTCGATGTGGCCCTTGTATTCCTTGTGTGGAAAAGCTTCTCAGCTAGTTTTTAGTCTTTTTCAGCAGAAATTGTTCCATACATAGCTGTAGATTTGGTCATAATCTATCTTGGACCCCAGAAAAACTTTCTTAGCTTTAGGTTGTACTGTAGGGGTCCCTCTTCAGAGTGTTCTGGGATGTATTAAATCATATGACTTCTCAGTGTAGATCTTTCTCTGGGACTTTCTGCTATCTGCCTCAGTCCAAACCTAAATTAGGGATGCTCTTCTCAACAGAAGATCGCTGTGTGCTCCTGCTTGGAATTAGAGGGTGCTACTGACCACCCATTAGAAGCCCCCTTCACATGGCATCTCAGCATAAGCTCCCCAACTGGAGGGTCCAGAGCTTTATCACTGATCCCAGTGCTGACAATGGTATTTGCTTCCAGGATTTGCATTTTCTTACAGCTCAGTTTCCTTTCTTTTACTTTTCTTCTTTTTTTCCTGTTTTCTCTGTTGATTGTTAAAAAGGGTTTTCTGACTTTTGCTTCTGAGCCAGTTCTCAATTAAAGATATAGGCGTTTAATTTCTTCCAATTTCTTGTTTTATTTCACTAGGATGGCTTTTCAGAGTACATAATCTTCCATATGGCAGAAACAAAATCATCTTACTTGTGCATTTTAAAAAAATACATGGTTACTTAATTTTCCTTGAGATTATGTAGAATCATTACTAAATATTCTCATTACTTTGGTCCTTTAAAAAAAATATATTCTAGATGACTATTTTGTAATATTTATTTATTTTCTTTAAAAATCAATATTTAGGTATAGGTTTCATATTAATTTCTTTTTGATTCTGTCATATTTTAATGGCTATTTGTTTAAGGATATTGTGAGGAAGGACTTGGCAATAACCACCTTAGTGTTGAAACAGGGCCTCTAACCCATATTCCCATTAAAGGACACATTTTTGTGTCTACATTGTTGAGGATAGGTCTTGGGTCGGAGGTTAGTGTTTCTCCTTCAGGAAGAGCAAGTTGCTAGGACAGTTGACAGTAAAAGAGGTTTTCTGGTCACAACTTCTCATTGTGGTAATTTAGAGGCCACATGAAATAGAACTCTGATGCAAAAAGTATTCAAAATATTTGCTGAATTAATATAAGTCATTATGCTTAAAATAATGGACATATCAACGTGCATGTGTCATAGGCACTTCATATTCCCTATGACCAGCAGTGAGGAATTGTTTTCCAATATATCTGTTCTCCACATCTGCTCTACCATCCATTTCTTATCAATTTTCTGATCCCCATTTTTACTGTGTAATTAATCATACTATTTCCCCTTGCCTAGGGATAAACTTCTAACTCCTCAGTCTGACACACAATGGGAACTTCTGTGGTAGTTTGCACAACCTAGACAATTAGAAACTAAGATAAAAAACAGAACGAGGAAGAGCCTTGCCATGTCCCTGTTTTATGTTAAGGAAAGAGCAATAAAGGAGAGAAAGAGTTTCTATCTCTGGTAACATGTAGGCAGAGAGAGGCTTATTGGTTTTAACATACAGAAGCAGACCTGTTCTTTTAAAAAAAATCTTTATTGTTGAAAGAATTACACATGGCCCTTCTTTCCCTCAGGGACCCCTGCTACCCACCCCTGCCCCCTGCCAGCAGATATGTTCTTGAAAGGAGAGAAAAGCTTAGTGGTTCTTCTTTGTATTGTAATATCATGTCCTGGCTAAGATCAAAAGACCAGAGTTACATGTTCAGCTGGAGGGAAAAAGCCTTCAAACTTTGCATGGATGTTATATAAAAACTAGAGGCCTAGTACATGAAATTTGTGCACTGGAGCAGGGGTCCCTCAGCCTGGCCTGTGCCCTCTCACAGTCCAGGACCCCTCAAGGGATGTCTGCCTGCTGGCTTGTGGCTTGATGGCCTTCTGCTGCTGCACGGCCTGCTGCATGAGCTTCAGCAGCTGCTGCACATGCACGGGTTGGGTGACCATGGTCTGTCCTGTGAACACCATTGAGTGGGTGAGTCAAATGCGGAGGCAGGCTCACCCTGAGTTCCTTGCACTTCCCTGAGTCACTGAGTTGTTCTGACTGACTGCCTTCTACAGAGAACGGCACCAGTATGGGGCCTAAGCCGGCAGTTGGACATCCCTCTCGCAGTCCAGGACCCCTTGGGGGATGTAGCAGTGCATCAAGTGGCAGGCAGCCAGAGAGGAGCCAGAATTGGGGCTGGGGGCCGTGCCATTCATGCTCATCCCAACCCGCTGTGCCTTTTGCCGTCGCTCAGTACTGCTGCCTTGGAGTCGGGAGAGGCTCCCGCCATGGTAGCTGCACTCACCAGCTGTGAGCCTGGCTTCTGGCTGAGCAGTGCTCCCCCTGTGGGAGCACACTGACAACCAGGGGGCAGATGCTCAATGAAGGAGATGTCCCCTGGTGGTCAGTGTGTATCATATCAAGCAGTTGTTCTGGTCATTCCACCATAACGGTCACTTAGGCTTTTATATATATCCTATCTAATAAAAGAGTAATATGCAAATTGACCATCACCCAACACACAAGATGGCTGCCCCCATGTGGTCAAACATGGCCACCCCCATGTGGACACAAGATGGCCGGCAGGGGAGGGCACTTGGGAGCGATCAGGCCAGCAGAGGACACTTGGGGGTGACCAGGCCTCCTAGGGAGGACAGTTAGGGGCAACAAGGCTGGCAGGGAAGGGCAGTTGGGAGGGACCAGGCCTGAAAGGGAGGACAGTTGGGAGCAATCAGGCCAGCAGAGGAAGACACTGGGGGTGACCAGGCCTACAGGGGAGTACAGTTGGGGGCAACAAGGCTGGCAGGGGAGGGCAGTTGGGGGGAACCAGGCCAGCAGGGGAGGACAATTGGGGGGAACCAGGCCTGCAGGGGAGAGCAGTTAGGGGCAACCAGGTCAGCAAGGGAGGGAAGTTGGGGGTGACCAGGCTGGCAATGGAGGGCAGTTAGATGTGACCAGGCTGGCAGGGGAGCAGTTAGGTTTCAATCAGGCTGGCAGGGGAGTGGTTAGGGGGGATCAGGCTGGCAGGCAGTAGTAGTAGTTAGGGGCGATCAAGAAGGCAGGCAGGCGAGTGGTTGGGAGCCAGTAGTCCTGGATTGTGAGAGGGACGTCCCAGATTGGAGAGGGTGCAGGCTGGGCTGAGGGATACACCCCTCCCCGCTACCCTGTGCACAGATTTTGTGCACCAGGCCTCTAGTATATAGATCATTGAGAATTATGATGATAATTGTGACTTAGAGATATAATTTACATGGACAGAAGAAATCCAAATCTGTCTTATTAAAGTGATATAGGAATTTAGTGTGAACCCTTTTTCTGTGTGTGCAAAATTTCTTAGCATAACCAGACACAAGAAGTTATAGAAACGACAATCCCAAAAGGAATTATATTGGTAAACCATAGGGAACAGTTACTGAAGACATAAAACTTATGCATAGTGAGAACAACAAATATGATATAATACATCTTGAACAAAACAGCCCAAACTAATTTACCTGGGAATTTCATTGTGATGAAATCTTTAAAATCATTTAATGTATGCTTGTGTGTATCAGTCTTGACCTTGACCTTTAGGATGTAAACATCGCCAAACTTGTTCTTGAGGTGCTGAGGGCTGCCCAAACACACAAACTTTCCCTTCACCATGATGGCCAGCCTGGTACAGAAGGCATCGCATTCCTCCATTCTAGCAAAATAAGGTACCAGAATAATGTAAAATTGAAACATTTCCTGTTGGAGGACCTTCTATAATTCAGGATTTTGTGTTCTATTTCCAAAGGGAAGTGGAATTTGCCAATCATAAAGCTCATACTTGAGAAGTGGAAATTTTTCAAATAATGAGTATGAAACCCTCACATAGAACATCTGAACTCCTTGTCCTCTCCCCACTCTTGGTTACATAACTTAATGGATTCTTGACTCTTTCACTGATTAGGATTAATGAGGAACTCACATTCTCAAGCAAGTTTGGTGTCCAATATTCCTAGCCCCAAATAATTCTCTTGAACAACCACTACAATGCTTGCCAACCCTCTTCCAAGCCTCCCAATGAGTCACACCTGTGGGAGGTTATAATAATGGTTTTTCCACTTTCACGTGCTTGCATCACAGCATCCCAGAGCAGACGTCGGGCTACTGGGTCCATGCCAGTTGATGGCTCGTCCAGCAAAATGATTGTGGGTTTTCCCATCAGGGCAATAGCAGTACTCAGCCTACGTTTGTTTCCTCCACTTCATGGTCATAGAAGGAGAGAGAATGCAGGGAAAGCGAAGGATATATAAATCAGTTGCTTATAGGATAGTAACATTTCAAATGTTGAGAGTCTCAGCAAGCACAAAACATGGATATCCATGGTGCTGGTTAAATGTGACTTCAATGAGGTAGCAGGCTCAAGTACAGATATATATATATATATATATATAGATAGATAGATAGATAGATAGATAATTTTTTTATTTGAAATGAAAAGGAGTGACTTTTATGTAACTGATTTTACCAGTATTATCACTGACATTTATTTACTAGTTCTTAGGGTGTTCTGATTTTCCAGGTACATAAATTCCACCATAATTTGTTGGGACTCAAAGAACCATGTGGCCACTAGGAAGAATAAGGTGCTCCCCTTTGAGATTCAGAGGCTATGGTTCAATCATAACTAAGATTTTGAGTTTCATCTCAGTATAGGAAAGACATGGAACCACACTGACCTGTCTTATTACTGCATTTTAACCTAACAACTCATTAGACAGTGTCACAATTAAATATCTGTGTGATAGAGGGAATTAGGTGATGCATTTTTACATCAGAAGCACAGGGAAGCATCACAACATTAGCAGCCACAATGAAAAGATCAGTATATTGACTCACCTATAGGTTCTGATAATCTTGTCAGCATGGGACTCCAGTTGCAGTGAAGTCAACCATTTGCTCACGTACTGCTGAATCTGGGACTCCGAGACTCCCCATAATCTGGCATACATGATCATTATTTCCCGACCAGTCATATATTCCAGCAAGGCATCAGACTGAGGACAATAGCCAACTCTTGCCTTCACCTGATTATAAGAATTGCCTTGATAAGGACCCAAGTCATCAGTCCCACTGAGCATTTTTTAATAAGATAGAAGACCTTCACTTCTCCAGGCTATGCTTCTAAGTGTACTACCAAGAATTTTCTTTTCTAAAGACCACAGAATTATGATGAGTGGATCTATTGTCTCAAATTAAAATAACAGATTCCCCAATTCAGTTTTAATAATCTGGAGGATGAAGAAGTTAGAAATAAAATCCTATAGCACCATTGAATTTGGAGCATTAGAATATTAGATTCTCCCCTCGTTAATGAAGAATTCCAAGGCAGTTGGCCACAAGGGATGTTCTTGCCCTGCACAGGTTGCACAGTCATTGTAGACCTCATTTCATAGGAAGGTTGAACTGGAAGCTAGCCTTCCCATGCTCATAAGCAGGGTAAATCAGTTGCTTTATCAGTTAACCAAGCCTTTTGTATATTTGTCTTCAGATGTACATAGACTACATATCGAGAGAAACGATGAATATTAGTTTATTAAAATTAATTAACTAAACATTTTAAATAAAGTTATTTTAAATAAGTAAAATTCATAGCTTTTCTCTGGGATTTTATTAATTCATTTACAGCGATCCTAGACTCTTGGCAGAAATGAACTAAACTCTTTATTCTAGATATGAAATTATTCTCTCATATAATTTTTGAAAATAAATGAGCTACATGCAAAGATAAGTCAACAAACTAGGAAAAAAAATAACATGAATGCCAATACCAGAAACATTTGTAATAACTTCAGGTATTGGGATTAGTAGATCGAATGGAAAAAAAATGATAGTAGTTATTATATTTACATAAATTTTAAAAGTTTAAAACTATTTGATAAAAGAGGAAAGTATAAAGTCATGTAGACCTTTTAGAAATGAACCATATATCTAAATATCTAGAAATGAAAAAAAAGAGTCATGTTACAATTTCTGTGAATGGGTTGAATTAATTACAATGGAAGAAATTAATCTGCTGAAGATAGGTCCTAAGAAAGTTCCTAGAATGCAGCACAAAAATAAAAAGTGGGGAACGAATAAAATAACACTGAGAGATTGGGATGATAAACTAGAAATATCACATCTGGATAATCAGAATTGCATCTGGACAAAAAGATGGGAACAAGAAAAATATCTGAAAACTAATAAAAATTATACAGAACTAATTTAACATATTAATGAATTCAAGAATGCCAATAACTTTCAAGAGAATACAAATTTAAAGATCCACGTCTAAGTACTTCATATTGAAGCTTATGTAAAACAAAGAGAAAAATTATAAAGCAGCCCATAGAGGAAAAAAGATTATAATATAAAGTATGTCATACTGACAGCTGATTTCTTAAAAGTAGTGGTGGAAGCTAGGTGATAGTGAAAGAACATAATAACTGGTTCATTAAAAATAATTGCAGCCCTAGCTTGTTTGGCTCAGTGGATAGAGCATTGGTCTGTGGACTGAAAGATCCAGGGTTCGATTCAGGTCAAGGGCACATGCCCAGGTTGTAGACTCGATCTCCAGTAGTGGGCATGCAGGAGGCAGCCAATGGATGATTCTCTCTCATCATTGGTGTTTCTATCTCTCTCACCACCTCCCTTCCTCTCTGCAAACAATAAAACAATATTTTAAAAACAATAATTGCAAACCTCAAATTCTACACGCAGTGAAAATATCTTTTGCCAGTGAGGGTGAATTAATGGCATTTGCAGAAAGAAAGTGAAAACAAATAATAAAAGGTTTTCCCCTGAAATTGAGATGGAGAAACTGTCTGCAGTTGCCATTGCTGTTCAATGCAGAGTAGAGGCTCTAGCCCAGCCGTAGGCAAATGACAGCCCGCGGGCCAGATTGAGCCCGTTTGAAATGAATAAAACTAAAAAAAAAAAGACCGTACTCTTTTATGTAATGATGTTTACTTTGAATTTATATTAGTTTACACAAACACTCCATCCATGCTTTTGTTCCAGCCCTCCGGTCCAGTTTAAGAACCCATTGTGGCCCTCGAGTCAAAAAGTTTGCTTACCTCTGTCTAGCCCTTGCTGTAAACAAGGGAAACAAGCATAGGATTGGGAAGGAAAACAAGTCTTTGCTATTTGCAGGTGGTCATGATTGTATAAGTAAAGATTCTAATGAAATTTATAAATAAATATTAGAATTAATAGAATTAGGAATTTTGTTGAACAAGTTTAGTATTTAAAGTCTATTGTAATTCTATAGACCAGCAATAAGTCATAAAAATAAAATCATTTAAGTTAATATTAAAACAAAATATATTGAAATAAATTGTACAAAATAAGCTGAATTCTCTTATTAATGTAACATCCATGCACAACTATTAAACTATTATTCTGACGCACTTATTGAGAAACAAATTTATGGAAATGACATATGTACTATAAATATGTTAATCTTCTAGAATGTCCACTCAAAAATCTCAGTAAGTATATGCAAAGATAGGATATTTCCTCAATATATCTATAATTTTTAAAAGTTCAAAAATAACCAAAGTAGCATTGAAGAACACTTTTCACTATTAAATATTATGACTTGTTATAAGACTACTATAACTAAGAAAGTGTAGTACTGGCTAAAGGCTAAACAAATAAACCTATGAAAAACAACATAGTCCAGAAAGTGACTCATATTTAGGTAATACTTGATAGTTGACAAAGTTGACATTGTAGAGGAGTTGGAGCAATGACAATCTCTCACCAAAACGTGCTGGGTCAACTGGCTATATGTTAGGGAAAAAATGAATATTTACCCTTATGGACAGTATGCAGATGAATTATAGATTTAAAGGTGAAAGGTAGGCCTTGGCTGTGAACCCAGGACTGGGACTCCATCCTCCACAGAGGCAGGTTCTATCTAGTTTTCAGATAGAAACACCAGAGGCAGGGTTAGAAAACGGTGGCCCAAAGTTTTATCCCTGGGCACTGCAACCAGGCCAGCAGCCACCACCACAACTGCATAAGCAGCCATCATCATGACCACTGGAGGAGCAGCCGCTGCCCTCAAATGCCCGAGAAGCATCCGCCACTGCAACCGCAAAAGCAGCCCATGTGCAGCCACCGCTGCAAATGCCTGAGGAGCAGCCACATGAGCAGGTATCACTGCAACTACTCAAGCCAAGCCAGCAGTTTCAACCCCAGGCCTAGTGATTGAACAAAGAACCACCAAGCCCAATGCATTGACCCCAGGAGCTGTGACCCTGCAATCTGCTGCCAAGCCCCAAATATTGACCCAGGAGCCATGACATGCAAACTAATACCTAGATCCTTTGGTGAGAGCAAAATGGGGACACAAAAAAATAACCACCAAAAAAAGAAAAGGAGGAATCCAGAAAATGAACTAAATGAAACAGAAGCATGCAATATGTCAGAAAAAGACTTCAGAATCAGGGTCATATAGCTCATAAACCAGATGGATGAGAAAATCAACAACTTATGTAAGAATCAAGCAGAAAAAATAAAAAATAACACCATGGAAGATTTCAACACTAGATTAGAAGAAGCAGAGAACCGAATTAGTGAATTAGAAGAAAGGGCAGCAAACCTCACCCAATATGAACTGCAATTGGAGACAAAAATTAAAAGAAGGGGGAGAGCCTAAGGGAGCTTTGGGACAACATGAAACAACGCAACATATGTATAGCAAGGGTGCCAGAACAACAAGAGGAGTAAGGGTTAGAAAACCTATTTAAAGAAATAATGTCAGAAAACTTCCCTGAATTGGGGAAGAAAAAAGTTACACAAGCAGAGTCCCAAGTAAGATGAAGCCAAAAGACCAAGACACACTGTAATTGCAATGGCAAACATTAATGAAAAAGAGAGAATCTTAAAGGCTGCAAGAGATACAGAATGATACCCACAAGGGACCTCTCATTAGATTATCAAATAATTTCTCAACATAAACACATCAGGCAAGAAAGGAATGGAAGGAAGTATACAAAGTGATGCAAAGCAAAGGACTGAATACAAGACTACACTATCCAGCAAGGCTATCATTCAAAATTGAAGGGAAAATCAGGAGCTTCACAGACAAAAAAAAAAAAAGGCTAAGGGAGTCTATCACTACCAAGCCAGCAATGCATGAAATACTAAAGGGATTGTCTTAAAAAGAAGAAATAAAAAGGGAAGAAGTAACACAGGCACTCTAAAATAAAAATGGCTACAAACAAGTACCTATCAATAATAACTTTAAACGTAAATGTACTATATGCTCCAATCAAAAGACATTGAGTGGCTTAATAGATAAGAAAACATGACCCATATATATACTGCCTTCAGGAGACTCACCTCAGACCAAAAGACTCACACAGACTGAAAATGAAGGATGGAAAAAATGACTTTCAGGCAAATGGAAAGGAAAAGAAAGCTGGGGTAGCAATACTTATATCGGACAGATAGATAGATAGATAGATAGATAATTTTTTTATTTGAAATGAAAAGGAGTGACTTTTATGTAACTGATTTTACCAGTATTATCACTGACATTTATTTACTAGTTCTTAGGGTGTTCTGATTTTCCAGGTACATAAATTCCACCATAATTTGTTGGGACTCAAAGAACCATGTGGCCACTAGGAAGAATAAGGTGCTCCCCTTTGAGATTCAGAGGCTATGGTTCAATCATAACTAAGATTTTGAGTTTCATCTCAGTATAGGAAAGACATGGAACCACACTGACCTGTCTTATTACTGCATTTTAACCTAACAACTCATTAGACAGTGTCACAATTAAATATCTGTGTGATAGAGGGAATTAGGTGATGCATTTTTACATCAGAAGCACAGGGAAGCATCACAACATTAGCAGCCACAATGAAAAGATCAGTATATTGACTCACCTATAGGTTCTGATAATCTTGTCAGCATGGGACTCCAGTTGCAGTGAAGTCAACCATTTGCTCACGTACTGCTGAATCTGGGACTCCGAGACTCCCCATAATCTGGCATACATGATCATTATTTCCCGACCAGTCATATATTCCAGCAAGGCATCAGACTGAGGACAATAGCCAACTCTTGCCTTCACCTGTAAAGATAAGGAAGGCCACTGCATAATACTAAAGAGATCAATACAACTAGAGGCTATAACTCTGGTAAACATATATGCACCCAATGCAGGAGCATCCAAATACATAAAAAAATCTCCTGGAAGATATCAAGGAGAGATTGACAGCAATGCAATCATAGTAGGGGACTTTAATACCCCATTAATATCACTGGATAAATCCTCTAGACAAAAAATCAGCAAAGAAACATCAATCCTAAATGACTCACAAGATCAGATGGACTTAATTGACATCTTCGAACATCTTCAGAACAGCTTCACCCAAAGCTCCAGAATATATATTCTTCTCAAGTGCACATGGAACATTTTCAAAGATAGAACACATATTGGGTCACAGGCAAAGTCTCTCCAAATACAAGAAGACTGAAATCATATCAAGCATCTTCTCAGACCACAATGGCACAAGATTAGAAATAAGCTACAATAAAAACAAGACAATAAATCCAAACACTTGGATGCTGAGTAGTATGTTATTAAACAGTGATTGTGCTACCAAAGAGATCAAAGAAGAAATTTAAATCATCCTGGAAATGAATGACAATGAAAACACAACAATCAAAAATTTATGGGACACAATGAAAGCAGTCCTGAGAGGGAAATTCATAGCATTATAGGCCTATCTCAAAAAACAAGAAAAACTGGTAATAAATCTAACTCTACAACTCAAAGAATTAGAATGAGAGCAACAAGAAAAGCCTAGTGTGAGCAGAAATGAGATAATAAAGATCAAAGCAGAAATAAATGACAAAGAATCCAAAAAAAAACTATAAAAGATCAATGAAACCAAGAGCTTGTTCTTTGAAAGTATAAACAAGATTGATGAACCTCTAGCCAGACTCATCACCAAGAAGCAAAGAGAGAGGACCCAAATAAATAAAATCAGAAACAAATCTCAATAGGAAGATAACTAAAGAGGAAATTGAAGCAACAATCAAAAAGCTTCCAGCAAACAAAAGCCCAGGACCAGACAGCTTCACAGGGGAGTTTTACCAAACATTCAAAGGAGAACTAAAACTTATCCTCCTCAGATGATTCCAAAAAATTCAAGAGGAAGGAACAATTCCAAGCTCTTTCTATGAAGCAGCATTGCCTTAATCCCAAAACAAGATAGAGACAATATAAAGAAAGAGAATTATAGGCCCATATCCCTCATGAATATAGATGCTGAAGTCCTCAACAAAATTCTAGCAAGTCAGATCCAGCATTACATTAGAAAGATCATACAGCATGACCAAGTGGGATTTATTCCCAGATGCAAAGATGGTACAATATCCTCAAATCAATAAACGTGATACATCACATAAGCAAATTGAGAGACTAAAATCACATAATATATTAATTGAAGCAGAAAAAGCATTTGACAAAATCTAACACTCTTTTTTGATAAAATGCAACATGGAAATAGAGGGATCATACCTCAACATAATAAAAACCATATCTGACAAACCTACAGCCACCATCATACTCAATGGGCAAAAACTAAAACCATTTCACCTAAGATCAGGAACAAGACAGGGATGCTAACTCTCATCACTCCTATTCAACATAGTACTGGAAGAGCTAGCCATAGCAATCATACAAGAAGAAGAAATAAAAGGCACCCAATTTGGAAAAGAAGAAGTAAAACTATCATGATTCACAGATGATTGACATTATAATGAACATAAAAACCCTAAAGACTCCAAAATAAATTATTAGATGTAATAAATGAATTCAGCAATGTAGCAGGATACAAAATTAACAGCAGGAAATCTATGGCATTTTTATACACCAATAGTGAACTTACAGAAAGAGAAATTTAAAAAAAAATCCCATTTACCATTGCAACAAAAACATTAAGATACCTAGGAATAAACTTAATTAAGGAGGTAAAAGATCTCTACTTGGAAAACTATAAGACATTGAAAAAAGAGATAGAGGAAGACATAAACAAATGGAAGAATATACTGTATTCATGGATTGGTAGAATGAACATCATTAAAATGTCCATACTACCCAGAGCAATCTATAAATTCAATGCAATCCCCATTAAGATACCAAAGCATATTTCACAGACCTACAGCAAACACTCCAAAAATTCTTATGGAATAAAAAAAGACCCCAAATAGCAACAGCAATTCTGAGAAAGAAGACAAAGTTGGAGGGATCTTAATACCAGAAATCAAGCTATATTACAAAGCCACTGATCTCAAAATTGTCTCATACTGGCACAAGAACAGACATATTGACCAATGGAACAGAACAGAGAACCCAGAAGTCGACCCAAGCCTTATGCTCAATTAATATTTGACAAAGGAGGCAAGAACATACAATGAAGTCAAGACAGTCTCTTCAATAAATGGTGTTGGGAAAACCGGGCAAATACATGCAAAATGAAACTAGAACACCAACTTACACCACACACAAAAATAAACTCAAAATGGATAAAGGACTTAAAGCTAAGATGGGCATAAAAATTTCAGAGAAATTCATAGGCAGCAAAATGTCAGAC